AGGTTGGTCATGGTGGCTCATGCTGTAATCCTAGCACTTTGGGAGGTAGAGGGAGGAAGATTGTTTAAGCTTAGGCATTCCAAGACCAGTCTGAGCAAGAAGGAGACCCTGTCTCTACTAAAAATAGAAAAACTAACCAATTGTGGTGGCACACCTGTAGTCCCAGCTGCTCCAGAGGCTGAGGCAGGAGGATCATTTGAGCACAGAAGTTTGAGGTTGCTGTGAGTTACGATACTGCCCTCTAACCCAGGCAACAGAGTGAGACTTCAGGTCAAAAAGTAAAAATAACTGGGAGTTGTGGCAGGTGCCTGTATTCCCTGCTACTCAGGAGGCTGAGGCAAGAGAATCGCTTGAGCCCAAGAGTCTGAGGTAGCTGTGAGCTATGACACCAGGACAGTCTACTGAGGGTGACAAAGTGAGACTATCTCAAAAAAAAAAAAGTTAAATATGTTGGGGATCTAGGTGTGGTGGCTCAGTTTATACTCCTAGCACTCTGGGAGACTGATGCAAGAGGATCTCTTAAGCTTAGGAGTTTGAGACCAGTGGATGCAGGAGAGAGACTCTGTCTCTGCTGAAAGTAGAAAAAACTAGGCATTGTTGGGTGGCGTCTGTGGCTCAAAGGAGTAGGGTGCCAGCCCCATATGCGGGAGGTGGCAGATTCAGGCCCAGCCCCGGCCAAAAACTGCAAAACAACAACAACAAAAACTAGGCATTGTTGTGGGCACCTGTAGTCTGCTACTTAGGAGGCTGAGGCAGGAGGATTGCTTGAACCCAGGAGTTTGAGGTTGCTGGGAGTTAGGCTGACACCAAGGATACTCTAGCCTGGTTGACAGAGTGAGAAACTGTCTCAAAAAAAAAAAAAAAATTAAGTTGAGAACATTCAGGGATTGAGGATGATTTAGGAGTTAAGGTGGTCTAGATAAGATTAAAGGAATTACCTTAGTCTTTTTCAAGTTTGTCATGAAAAAAAGGAATACAGAAAACCTGAATAAAATAGAGGGGTTGTAATGGATATATATGTGAAATATTTTGAAGTGGACTCTGTTGGCTAAATGACTACATTATGGGGAATAAAAGAAAATAAGTTAATATTACTTGGATTTCAAACCATCATAGAAATAGGGACTTGGTTGGGAAGGAATCTTTGAGGAAGATATAAGTTTGATTTTAGTTATGTTTAGTTTGAAACAATAATGAAAAATTCAAGAGTTATTTTTTAGGGAGGTAGAGATAAAGGATTAGAGTTGAAGTAAATTTGGGGGTAGAGATAGAGATTTGTATGTACTCAGCAAAAGTAAGATATTTTCAATGCCAAAGCTACATCTATCTTAAAACATCTTGTCAGAATAAATCTTACAATGCCTTTGAAAGGATTTTAAGCTACTCAACTGGATCCAGCTCCTAATAATATGTAAATGCCAATAAGCTTATATTGAAGCTTGAATAGTGAATATTTTCTAATTGAATAACAATAGAATTCTTGGAGATGTTCAAGTGCAAGTGTGAAGAGGAAAGTGCTTTAGAACTTGGGAGAGACAAATGTGTTTATAAAATCATTATACATCGGGCATAGTGGCTCACGCCTGTAATCGTAGCTCTGGGAGGCTTGAGGCAGGAAGACCCCTTGAGCTCAGGAGTTCAAGACCAGCCCAAGCAAGAGTAAGACAGTCTCTAATAAAAATAGGAAAATTAGCTGGGCATTGTGGTGGGAGGCTGAGGCAGGAGGACCCACTAGAGTCTAGGAGTTTGAGATTTCTGTGAGCTAGGCTGATGCCACAGCACTGTAGCCAGGGCAACAGAGTGATTCTTACTCTCTCTCAAAAAAATCATTCCTCATGAGAGATGATATTAATACAAAATATTTGTTGCACATTAGCACCTGGTAAGGTTCACCCTTAGTTGAGTGCAGTGGTATGTACCTGTAGTCCCAGGCAGCCTAGCTAGCCACCATCTTTTTTTGTTTTGTTTTTGAGGGTTTTATTTATTTGTTGTTGACACAGAGTTTCACTTTGTCACCCTTGGTAGAGTACTGTGGCATCAGAGCTCACAGCAACTTCAAACTTCTAGGTTTAAGCGATTCTTTTGCCTCAGCCTCCTAAGTGGAAGTGCCCACCACAGCACCCAGCTATTTTTTGAGACGAGATCTTGCTCTGGCTCAGGCTGGTTTTGAACTCATGAGCGCAGGCAATCTACCTGTCCTAGCCTGCCAGAGTGCCAGGATTACAGGCATGAGCCACCATGCCCCGCCTTTGTTTTTGTTTTTTGAGACAGGGTCTTACTATCACTTGGGCTAGAGAGCAGTGGCATCATCATAGTTCACTGGAACTTCAAACTCTGGGTTCTAGCAATTCTCTTACCTCAACCTCCTGACGCAGCTAGGACTACAGGTGTACAGCACTGTGGGCTAATTTTTGTATTTTTTAATAGCAACAGAGTCTCACTTGTGCACAGGCTGGTCTGAAACTCCCAGGAGCCTCCAGTGATCCTCCCACCTTGGCATCCCAAAGTGCTAGGATTACAAGCATGAGCCACTGGCCCAGCCTGATCCCATCTCTTAAGAAGAACAAAATGTGCAAAAAGGTTTAGCCTGTGCTGAAGCTGACTGATCTCCCTTGTAAGCAATCTTCTAAGCTGGCTGCCATGTAGACTTCTAAAGCTACATATCTAAAGTACCTAAAGTCTAAGCATTTCAACATTACATAGCACAACTAAATACTTTTTTTAAATGCCTAAATGTGACCTTTCAACTTTTTCAGAGAAGATGCGAAATCAAGGTTTACTTCAATGGCTTCATTCTCTTCAGTCTGATGACAGCACTTCTCCAGACCTGCAGCTCACCGTGGGAGCAATGATTGTGGAGGAAATGAGAGCAGCCATAGAGAAGCAGACTGGTTTTCAGTGTTCAGCTGGAATTTCACATAATAAGGTGAAGGCTAATAGTAGATTTCAAACAGAACATCCATATCTTAGATATAGCAAGGATATTGGGACATTTAAATTATTATGCATGAGATAAAGGTACTAAGACAAGAAAAAATTATTACACATACATGTTGAAATGGGTTTCTACCCAAAAAAAAGCTTAAGCAATTCATTTTTCTTTTTGAGACAGAATCTTGCTCTGTCACTCTGGGTGGAATGCAGCAGCATCATAGTAGCTCACAGCAACCTCAAACTCAGGAGGTCAAGAGAGCCTCCTGCCTCAGCCTTCCAAGTGGTGGGGAGTACAAGCATGCCACCACCCTTGGCTAATTTTTCTATCTTTAGTAGAGATGGGGTCTTATTCTTGCTCAGGCTTGTCTTGAGCTCCTGAGCTCAAGCAATCTTTTTGCCCCAGCCTCCCAGAGTATCTGGCCCTTAATTCTTTAACATGAGAGTTAAAAAGCAGGCTGAATAATTTCAGAAAATTCTTATCTATATGGTTATGTCCAAAGTATAGTCAGTTTTCCATATCTGCAGGTTCTGCATCTGTGGATTCAAACAACCACAGATGGAAAATAATGGGGGGAAAAATAATAATTAAAAAAAAAAAACCTAGATGAAAAACAGTATAGTATAACAACTATTTACATAGCACTTAACATTGTACAGTATTAATTATTGTAAGTAATCCAGAGATGATTTAAAGAATATAGGGGGTGCAGTGCCTGTGGCTCAGTGAGTAAGGCACTGGCCCCATGTACTGAGGGTGGCAGGTTTGAACCTGGCTCCAGCCAAACTGCAACAAAAAAAATAGCCAAGTGTTGTGGTGGGCACCTGTGGTCCCAGCTACCTGGGAGGCTGAGGCAGGAGAATTGCCTAAGCCCAAGAGCTGGAGGTTGCTGTAAGCTGTGACGCCATGGTACTCTACCGAGGGCAACAAAGTGAGACTGTCTTCTAAAAAATAAAAAAAAAAAATATATACAGGGGAATTTGTAGACATTATATACAAATACTATGCCATTTTATATAGGGAACTTGAGCAACCCTGGAGTTTGGAGTGGGAGTGGGTCCTACAACCAATCCCCCAGGGATACTGAGAGATGATAGTATTTCTATAATGACTGAATTGCCTATAGAAAGGAGGCTAATCTTGGAACTTTTATTTATTAGCCTATTTATTTTCACTTGCTGAGTATTTTTACATTGTTTTCTTATATGGAGTTGCCTGAGTGTTTTTTGTGTTTCCCATTCCCCTTTCCCAGTGAGAGCAATAAGAGAAATGGAATAGCAAATTTTTATTAATTTGGACAATTATTTCAATTCAATGAACACAGTTCTCAACAATCTGCAGCAGAATAAATGGCTTTATGATTAAGTATGAATAAAGTGTGATAAGGACCTGGCCCCTTCATCGCTTTCTGACCATGGCTCAATAATTAGTCAGTGATTGTGAATCTCTGATTGTTACCTCCTCCCCTCCCACCTATAAGAGAAAAATTGCCAAACTGCCCAATAAAATGTTTTGCTTTGTTTTGTTTTTGACAATACTCACTCTGTTGCCTGTGTAGAGTGCTTGTGGCATCATCATCTCTCACAGCAATCACAAACACTTGGGCTTAAGCAATCCTCTTGCCTCAGCCTCCCAAGTAGCTGGGACTACAGGTGGCCACCGTGGTGTCCAGCTAGTTTTTTATACTTTTAGTAGAGCTGGGATCTCACTGTTACTCAGATGGTCTTGAGTTCATGAGCTCAAGCAATCCACCTGTCTTGGCCTCTTGGAGTGCTAGGATATAGGCTTAAGCCACTGTGTTGGGCCTTGTTTTATTTTTGGATGGTGGGAGAGGAAACAACAGTCCCCGTGTAATTTAAACCAGATAAAATGTTGCCAGTAGAAGTTCCTAAAGAATCTATTCTCAGGTTAGAAGTAAAAAGAATCTCTTTAATGAATTTAAAGAAAGATTTTATACTTTTTCTATTATAATTGGCAAAATGATACCACTGAAGTGCTTTACTCTTTGAAAAGAGTTCTAGAGGCCAGATATGGTGACTGGTTTGGGAGGTTGAGGCAGTTTGGATTACTTGAGTTCAGAAGATTGAGACTAGCCTGGGCAACAGAGAGACCTTGGCTGGTTGAGGTAGCTCATACCTGTAATCCTAGCGTTCTGGGAGGCTGAGGTGGGAGGAGACCAGCCTGAGTAAGAGAAAGACCAGCCTGTCTTATTAAAGACCTGTCTCTACTAAAAATAGAAATACTAGCTCGGTGTTGTAGCGGGCGCTGGTAGTATAAGGTTCATGGGAGGCTAAGGCAAGAGGATAGCTTGTGCCCAAGAGTTTGAGGTTCCTGTGAGGTGTGATGCCACAGCACTCTACCCAGGGTGACAGAATGAGACTCTGTCTCAAAAAAAAAAAAAATTCTCAAGTATTTTAATTTTTTCATTTTTATGTTTTGCTTTTGTTTGTTTTTTGAGACAGTTCTTATTCTGTTGCTCAGGCTAGAATGCCATGGCCTCAGCCTAGCTCACAGCAATCTCAAACTCTGGGTTTAAGCAGTCCTCCTACCTCAGTCTCTCAGCAGCGGGACTACAGGCACCCACCACAATACCCGGCTAATTTTTTATTTTTACTAGAGATAAGGTTTTGCTCTTGCTCAAGCTGGTCTTAAACTCCTGAGTTCAAGTGATCTTCTGTCTCAGCCTACCAGAGTGCTAGGATTACAGGCAGGTGATTACTACACCCACCCTTTATTGTTTATGTATAAAGCATTTGCTATTAGAGGGTGATTTAGGGCCCAATCTTTTTTGTCTTTTTGAGACAAAGTCTCACTATGTCACCCTTGGTAGAGTGCTGTGGCATCACACCTCACAGCAACCTCAAACTCTTGGGCGTAAGTGATTCTCTTGCCTCAGCCTCCCATGTAGCTGGGACTACAGGTGCCCGCTACAATGCCTGGCTTTTTGTTGTTGTTGTTGTAGTTGTTCTTTGTTTGGCAGGCCCAGGCCAGGTTCGAACCTGCCAGCCCCTGTGTATGTGGCCGGCACCCTACCCACTGAGCTACAGGCGCCGAGCTGGGCCCAATCTTTATAACAGAAACTAAATTATGATAATTATCAAATTTGGATCTCAAAATGTACCATATTAATCAAGAAATGTAAATAAATGGAGTAGAGCTGCAGTCCCCAGTCTCTCGGGCCACCAACCTCTATCCCATTGCCTGTTAGGAACCAGACTGCACAGCAGGAAGTGAGCAGCTGGTGAGAAGGAGAAGCTTCCTTTATAGCTGCTCCCTCTTGCTGTCATCACTGCCTGAGCTCCACCTCCTGTTAGATCAGAGGTGGCATTAGATTCTCTCAAGAGTGTGTACCCTACTGTAAACTGTGCAGATGAGGGACCTAGGTTGCTGGCTCCTTATGAGAATCTAATGTAACACTGACCACCTACTCTTCTACCCTTTGCTTAGAAAAATTGTCTTCCAAGAAACCAGTCCCTAGTGCCAAAAAGTGTGAGGCCCCCAGAGTAGGGTAAAACAGGTTTGTTTTAGCATTTTTAAATGGACACACTGAGAAAAGCATCCTACTTGAGTTTCTTCTGCAGCTTTTACTTTTTAAACCTCTTGAAGTGGGAGGAGCTCAGGGAATAGATAGGAGAGAAAACCAAGACTGAAAGACAGGTGGGAATAGCAAGGAGGATAGTAATAATGGGTTTTGTTTTCCACTGTGAATGTTGTGGGACACCAAGTTTTAGAGTTTTTGAGTTTCTGGTTTTATTTTTAATGTTGAAACATTATTTATAGCCCTTAAGCTTTGTGTGTCTGTTTTAGTAATATTAACAATCTGAAGGTTGGCAAGGGTGGCTCATGCCTGTAATCCTAGCACTCTGGGAAGCTGAGGCTGGTGGATTGCTTGAGCTCAGGTGTTCAAGACCTGCCTGAGCATGAGTGAGACTCCATCTCTACTGAAAAACAGAAAAAATTAGCCGAGTGTTGTGGCAGGTGCTTCTAGTCCCAGCTACTCAGGAGGCTGAGGCAGGAGGATTTTCTGAGCCTAGGAGTTGGAGGTTGCTGTGAGCTAGACTGGCACTCTAGCCTGTCCAGCAGTAAAGTTGTCTCCAAAAAAAAGAAAAAGAAAAAAAAGATATATATTTACAAACTGTGGAGTATTGATGTAATGAGATATCTACACTTTCCATGCTTCCAGGTCCTGGCAAAATTGGCTTGTGGACTAAACAAGCCCAACCGCCAGACTCTGGTCTCACATGCGTCAGTCCCACAGCTCTTTAGCCAAATGCCCATTCGCAAAATGTAAGTATTCAGCAAGCACCTTAAATTTCACTCGTATCCATATAAAGACACTCTGGTTATAGTTTCTTTTGTTCTTGTGAAAGATTAAAGCCAGAAAAATAGGTACCAGGACATTAGAAGGGCAGCAACACAGAAATTTTTGAAAAATACACTGAGACTTTTTTCTCTTCTTCCCCTCCCTTTTTTTTTAAAATTGCTGCTGCCTATGTGATAAAAGAGTTTTTTTCCTAATGAGCGTTAATTCTGGATTATCTGTGGCAAGTACTTAATCCTAAATTTTAAAATATGAACCAAGTTTTAGCTATATGTTTAACTTCCCTCTAGACTTTTATTCAAGTTTGTTATGAAGTAACAAATAGCAATTTTGCCTCTTTTCTTTCCTTTTAATTTCAAATCAATGTGTTCAGGGCTGTTGTATTGCTTCCAAACTAGGCATCAGAGAAGAAGCCAAATCAAATAAATGACTAGTCTGTGCCTACCAATTATGTGTCCTTCACAAGGGCTTATAATATTGTTGGAGGGACAAGGTGTAACAGTTCAAAGCAACAACAGAAGTTCTAGCACAAGACTACATATGAATAATTGCTAAATAAATTGTGGGAATAATTACCAAAATTCACACAAGAAGAGAGTAATCTGGGAAGAATTTATTAAAAAAGCATAGGATTTTGTTTTGAGGTTTGGCACAATTAGGAGAGTCAGACAAGAATAGTAAAACAGCACAGTGCCTGTGGCTCAGTGGGTAGGACGCTGGCCCCATATACTGAGGATGGTGGGTTTGAACCCAGCCTGGCCAAACTGCAACAAAAAAATAGCTAGGTGTTGTGGTGGGCGCCTGTAGTCCCAGCTACTCGGGAGGCTGAGGCAAGAGAATTGCCTAAGCCTAGGAATTGGAGGTTGCTGTGAGCTGTGATGCCACAGCACTCTACCAAGGGCGATAAAGTGAAACTCTGTCTCTATAAAAATAAATAAATAAGCTCGGCACCTATGGTTCAAGCGGCTAAGGCTCCAGCCATATACACCTGAGCTGGTGGGTTCAAATCCAACCCGGGCTCGCCAAACAACAATGACGGCTGCAACCAAAAAGTGGCTGGGCGTTGTGGTGGCACCTGTAGTCCCAGCTACTTGGGAGGCAGAGGCAGGAGACTCACTTGAGCCCAGGAGTTGGAGGTTGCTGTAAGCTGTGATGCCATGGCACTCTATCCAGGGGGACAGCTTGAGGCTCTGTTTCAAAAGAA